TCCTCTTTCACTGGACACACAGTTTGCCATTACTATCATTCATCGCGAGTAACAATAAGTGACACTTACTTCTGATACCGCTGTCAGAGATGAGTATGAAGTCATACTTAGCGGCCTTATATCCCGGCTCCATATTATTAATCTTTGGATTGACGCCAACTTTGGCGCCACCGATGAATAGCTTAGCGTCCACTTCGGGATACTTATCGATCAGTTTTTTGACAAACATTATGGCCGCGTCTTTGTCATCGTGGATACAAAACAGGAGTTCAAACTGTAAGGCAATACAGCATTCAGTCAATCATTAGGTCTTATTGTAACTGTAAGTTTGCATAACATTTCATTAACCATCAAAAATAAAAACAAAACTATAAATTAGAGAAAATTACATAAATATAAAAAATCAAGAATTTTAATAATTTACAATTATTTACTCTTTTTAACATTAAACGCATACTAATTAGATATTAAATTAAATTCAATGAGAAGTTCAAATAAATGATAAATTATATGAGTTTTTATCCGTTAAAAGGCTTGACGTCATTGTAAGAAAAATATACAGTATTTTAGCTAAAGTTTTAACTAAAACTTAACGATTGGATTGCATGCTATCTTAGAAATGTTTGAAACAATTTTCTAATTAAGACTAAGACTACGAGCATAACAAAAAACTATATCAATAATTACACCATTAATGTCAATAGATTAATTTCACCGCATTTAAGTATTAAATTACAATAAATGGATATAAAATCAATTAATTATTCATAACAAAAACATCTAGGAGACTTGATAAATAAACTAATGTATGCAAGGTATGGGAGTACACGTGATAAGCACTGACACTGACAGCTAAATACAGGCAATGAATTCCTAAGAAAGCGTAATCACACCACTTGTCTAATGTCTAGTCTTTTCATTTAAACAACATTTTTGTTTAAATATTTTTATATAACAAATAAACTCTAATCTGATAATTGATATGCTTATTTATGTAATAATATACTACTGTATACTGAACTATACTGTATAACTCGGATACTACCGTATAAGACAATTAAATGCCTTAAATAAACTTCAATACACTTCAGTAAAATGCAAGACTACTTCAAGAATCTATGCCTTCATTAAACCTATTGTATGCTATTTATACCTTAGGGTACATATGTTACAGTACATGTTAACTGCTTAAATATGTTTAATTGACATGACTTTCATTTATTATTGTTATAATACTATTGCTGTGCATTATAGAGGATATAATTATTCATTTAATTTATAAGGAATTTATAAAAGAGTTCACAATAAGGCAAATAATGAAATGATATTGGATTGCAATTTATGAGATAAACTTTCCCATGAAATAGCAATTATTCATAGCATATGATTCATAAAAGACCGGTATTTGAATATTTAAATTTAGATTAAAATAATATTTATATTTATAAATCATTCACTGTTTAAAAAGTCAAACAAATATTAATTAATTAAAACAAATGCCTGAATGTGTTATGAATGAAATGCGAGTTGAATTGAACTGTCAATGTATGGCACAATTGCATTGAACGCCAGATTGTATGCAATCATAAACTTATATAATTTATACAAAAATAAAAAACATTGGATTTGTTTATAAATTTGACATCAAGTTTATGTCAATAACTGATTGTAATTATATAACACATACAAATGACTCATATTATCAACAAATTAGACAAATATTTCATACAAACTACACATTAATTGGAGGAAAAGTGAGACAAAAAGACAAAGAGTGGGAAAATAACAGAGAAATTGTGGGATAATTGGTGTGGAAGTGATAAAGTGATAGTTGTGTACCTGTGGGTAAGTCATGGTGAAGAACGACTCCAAGTTAGTGAACAAATTGGGATCAATTCCGACCAATGGTTTGATGATAGATACGCCTGGGAGTGGTGTTTCAGACACTCCTATCACTTCGACCTTCTTATGGAGTTTCCGTTTGCTTCACAAACACAACAAATGAATGGATTAGGCGTTCATATAATGGTGGACAGGGAGGACATGGAGGAGAGGTTGAGACATACCCGTTGAATATGGCCATGAGATGCATGACCCATACGAAGAGCCAGCCGCTGACGAAGAATACGGCCAATGCGTACAGACTTATGTCTAGTATGCGAGCCATTGGAGGGCTGACCGGCCGGTGGTTGAGGCCTATCCTATACTATGGCACCAAACCATCACTCATACCATCAAACCATTCAAACCATTGCCGACTAATGTCTGCATTGAGAGTGAGAGTCAATGCTGAAGGACTGTACTGTCATTGCATTCAATCAAACCGACAAATATGTCATCAGTTGTCATGACTACCACACCAACACTACACACCTCTCACACCTCTATCCACTCTCGCCAGACATACCGTCTCTCCAATTGGTCTCACTATCAGTGCTGTACTATTGACATACTTTTGCCACCAACATTAACAAACCATTTCATTAACACAACTACCCATTGTAACCATCATCAAAGTGCTGTCTTTCCCCCACCTGTGCCTGAATTATACTACAAACAAAACATTTTTGATCAATGTACAATTTCAATCAACTTACAATCACTACCATAAGCTTTTAGAAAGCATACATTTTAATGACATTATGCTAGTCCACCTACCATACTCATGTCAAATTACTGTCACTTGTTTTTATTATTTAAAAATGACTTTAATTTACTTTTTACAATAACTTTTTAAAAATAGTTGTGTCAACAAAATCT